CCCGGTCACTGGTGCTCCATCAGACCTCGGTCAGACTCGGCGATTGCGTCGCTGTACACCAGCGACGGAGCCGCCGGCGACTCCGTCGCTGGTGTACAGCGACGCAATCGCCGAGTCTGACCGAGGTCTCAACGCGACTGCTGTCTTTGTAAGTGCAGCACCCTATAGGCTCAGCTTGAAGATAATAATTCATGTTTTGCCTCCATGGTGTGACGACGCAGGAACAAGCTTCTTATGAGAGTCTACCAGCCTCTTATACCGAAGACACTTAGACATTATTCCTTTCATCTCCTGGGCAAGGTACTGCTTTTTCCAGGACTAGTGACCTCACCCACGGGGTTCCTACTCTCCTGTTTATTTATGTTTGCCTTTCTCTTGTGACTGTGACGTGACTTTTGAGCGCAAAAGGGCAGCGATGGTGGTCTTCATTCACAGACGAGACGTCGTGGGAGAAAGCGTATTGAAGAGCTTGCTGTTTAGAGAACTTGTTCCTGGTGTACTTTGGCTCCTTGGCACCAATACCGTGTTGTCGCGAAATTGCGCAGGCGTGAGCTACGGGTATATACACTGCTCCGCATAATTATACCTATAGATTCTGCAAAAACTCTTCTCCTAAGATGTATTCGAAGAAGCCTCTATATGGAAAAGGTTGTAGGTATAAATGCTGTTTTGCACACCAGCACAGAAGTTCCAGCTTTGAAATTTGAAGGAAGTTTTTCTGCAATTTTTCGAAAAGCCGCTCTGACCTATTCCGCATAATTATACAGCCACCCCATACTTTCTTGTTGCCTTTCTTTTCTGTACGATTAAATTTTTTGTTGTTGAAAGAGTTGGGAGGCAGTCGCACTGCTCCAATTTCGGGCCAAGTTTGCTTCAGAGTAAACAATTTCTTCGAGCATTGTGCAGGATATGGAGTAAAATTGAACCTTGGAGATCTTTCTTTGCTTTCGGATTCAGATAAACGCCGCCTCATAAGAAAATCAAACAGTTCCATCAAGTTGTGCTCGGAAATCAAACCTTATTTGAAACTTAATTCTCCAACAGGTGTCTGTTCGGCGTCTGTGGCAGAACTGCAAGTTCATCCACGAGTGAGAAATGTAAAGCGCATTGTTTATGACAACAAAACATTTCAAAAACCGAGACAGATTTGTCAAGCAGAGAAGTGAGAGAAACTTTTTACTTGTCAATTCCTACGCCTTGTCTGCCTTTCTTCCAAAGTTCTTTATCTCCAGGATACGCTTCTCCATAAGAAGAAGTTATCAAGAGTAAGAAAATGTTTCGAGAAAGGCAGACAAGGCGTAGGAAATGACAGGCAAAAACCGACCTCACTCCAGTCAGCTCGGCTTCACTTCTTGACAAAACTGTCTCGGTTTTTGAGATGTTTTGTTGTCATAAACAATGCGCTTTACATTTCTCACTCGTGAATGAACTTGCAGTTCTGCCACAGACGCCGAACAGACACCTGTTGGAGAATTAAGTTTCAAATAAGGTTTGATTTCCGAGCACAACTTGATGGAACTGTTTGATTTTCTTATGAGGCGGCGTTTATCTGAATCCGAAAGCAAAGAACGATCTCCAAGGCTCAATTTTACTCCATATCCTGCACAATGCTCGAAGAAATTGTTTACTCTGAAGCAAACTTGGCCCGAAATTCGGGCAGTGCGACTGCCTCTCAACTCTTTCACGATTTTTGTTACCATTTGCCTTTATTTAATTATGATGACGGTTTCCCTCTTGTTTTCACCTAAAGACGAAGTGTGGATAACAACAAAAAAATTTAATCGAGCAGAAAAGAAAGGCAACAAGAAAGTATGGGGTGGCTGTTATAATTATGCGGAATAGGTCAGAGCGGCTTTTTCGAAAAATTGCAGAAAAACTCTTTGGAGAAGAGTTTTTGCAGATTTCATAGATGGCTGTACAATTCAAATTTCAATGCTGGAACTATGTGCTGGTGTGCAAAACAGCATTTATACCTACAACCATTTTCCACATAGAGGCTTCTTCGAATGCATCTTGGGAGAAGAGTTTTTGCAGAATTCATAGGTGGCTGTGCAATTATGCGGAGCAGTGTATATGGGAAGTCCGGCAGAGCAAGTTTACGGCGAGCTATGAAGAGTAAGAATAAGAATATTGAGCATAACACAAATAATCGAGACGCTCATTAGGCCCTTGCGAGACTACAGCCTGGTGTAGAAAAAACCGCATCGTTTGTTCGTCGGCAGTTCCACGTTCCAAGGATACCTGAGGAAGCTTTTGGGCGTGAAATCGCGCGTGTAGCTCAGTGTCGCCCACTATCGCTTGCATTGGTAAATAGACGGGAGGCAATCCCACGGTCTAAGGATGCTTGGGAGCATTTGGGCGCCGGACATGTCGCTTAGTGTCGCCGAATTTCGCTTGCGCCTTGAAAATGCCGAGAGGCAGTTCCACGTTGCAAGGATGCCTGGGCAAGCTTTTGGGCGCGAAGTCGTGCATGTCGCTTAGCGGGCAGTGTAGATGGTTATTAGCAGAAAATGCCCAGTTTTGTAATAGTTCCTCGCAAATTCCATACGAAGGTAGTTATAGGCAGAGAAGCTGATTAACTGCGACGAATTCACTTCAGTCAGGTTACAAAAAACCTAATCAACAAATGTGCAACAAATTGGCCCCACAACCTCCCACCTGTGAGCCAAGACCGCTACTGCTGCGTCTTTTGCAACTTATGACTATGTTAAGAGAATGTTTCAGGATTCGAAATGCAGATTCGAGATCGGCACTTAAAACACATCTAACGATGTATGCCTCATTGCAATCCTTCGAACATTTTCCCTCCCCTGTGAGAATTTTTCACGCCGACCTCTCGACCCTCAGCGACAGTCTCCCTGTGGCCTTTTTAAATCACAATGGGCACTTTCATGACCAAGAGATAACTATTTACTGTCACTATTTCGAGCAGAGTGGGCCGAAAAGTGGCATGATCGTTTTCACTTGGCCTGTACCCAAGTGAAAACGATCATGCCTGCATGAAGCCCATGTTTATATTCAGCGGATTTCCAAAGCAAAACAGGCGTCAAAGTTTGAAAACTGAAGCTACCCTTGTTCCCTAATACTTTTCGCGGAATGTAAAATAGAATTTACCTGTTCTGCATTTGCAGTCGTAACGCGTTGATGCCATCAGGGAATGTCAGACTCTCTTCCTTTTGATCCAATGTGTAAAACGCCTGTGACGCAATTTGAATCATGCCACCAGCATGACCAAGAAGTTTCTGCTGCAAACAGCGAATATATAATATTTCTCACAATGAATGATCCGAGAGCAAAAAGCTCTGCACCAACCGGTAGATAATGGATTTTGCGATCCTAGGGCAGGGGTGCTATACATCAAACGCCAAACGCCGCATTAAACCTACTCCCAGCTTCCAATGGTAGGGCAACAACATAAGAGTAATGAAACAAAACTACGCTGACGATTTTTTTGTTTGCAAATATTTAAGCGTTCCTTCGAACAGTGTGGGTGCAGCGACATGGTGGCCTAGCCATATTTGGGTTGAAAGTTGTTTCAGCCTCGCGTAGATACATCGAAGCCTTCTGTTTTTTCAATGTCAGTTTCGTATGAGCTGTATAGAAAACTGATATGATATTTCTCTATTCCTTCTGTAATCGTAGTTCATATATTTGTTGTCATTGTCATATTTTGAAACATAATATATTTTTTGGTTCATTCATGTTCGTCATAGAAAATGTCGTTAAAATCTTTGTATCGTCATTGAAAAATGATCGTAGCAAAAGAATGTTGTTCGTAGGGAAAAAGCTTTATGTTTTTCTTGCATAGCTTATCATCGTATCGGATCTATCCTATATATATCCTCTTTGGTATATAATCAGTGTGAAGACGCAGCCTGTGAGCTTAGGTTTTTCTTACTTGCCTGCTGGAATAAATCTAAGTGAAGAACTGGACTTCAACAGAAGAAGAACCGTGTGACAAGGCTAAAAATTATTACAAGCTAGAGAAGACTACTGCTCGACTACTGCATTCAAAATAGATGAGTAACAAGTGTGCAGTGAAAGGTGGTGGTGTCCGTTCCTCCAAGTGGTGCCACTGGGAACTGCTCACTTTTGTGAGCTGAGCTGACGCGGACATTCGAATGCAGGCGACAGGCCCCCGTGACAGGCCGGCCTACGAACACCCACGTCACATCACAAATGTCAATGTCGCTATATGAATCTCGAGATAATGCTACGGCGTCCGCGGGAGCCGACGCGCACTCGCAAAGCCCGGCGAGTGTGAAAAGTATGCGAGGGTCTCCGGTGCAAGGACGGCATCGGGGGGCAACTAGGCTAGTCCAAAAGTCCCGCAACGTATGGAAGACTCGCGTTGCAACGTTAAATGTTGGCACGTTGACGGGCCGCTCGAGTTGGTAGAAGCACTGGAGCGCAGACGAATTGATCTCTGTGCTGTGCAAGAAACGAGGTGGTCCTGCTGCAAATCGAAGGACCTTGGCCGTGGCTTCAAAGCCATTCTTTGCGGCAGTCCCGGGACAACTAACGGTGTCGGTGTTATCGTTTCTGAACGTTTCCGTGACTCGATTGTCAGCGTTGAACGTTACGATGACCGCCTAATGAAGATCGTTGTCGCTTTTGAGCAACGTCAATATCACTTCTTCTCTGCGTACGCTCCGCAGACAGGCTGCTCCGAACACGCCAAGGACCAGTTCTGGGCCTTGCTGGATGACAAAACAGCTGATGTACCATCGCAGGATGCCCTAATTGTTGCCGGTGACCTAAATGGTCACGTGGGGGCTACGAAAGATGGTTACAGCTGTCATGGCGGATTTGGGTATGGGTCACGAAACGCCGATGGCGAGAGAATTCTAGAGTATGCAAACTCGCACAACCTCACCATCGTGAACACAAACTATCGCAAACGTGACTCCCACCTCATCTCGTTTTACAGTGGGGATACCAGAACGCAAATTGATTTTGTCCTCGTCAGGCAGCGTGATAGAGGGCTAGTGACGGACGCGAAGACGGTGCCGTACGAGACGGTCGCCACGCAACACCGACCACTGATCTGCACCCTGAAGATCACTCCTCCGAAAGTAAAGCAAGTTGAACGGTGCGGGCCTGCAAGGATCAAGTGGTGGCGACTGAAAGAAAAAGAATCTGCGCTGTTTTCCCGCATTCGCTTACCGACAGTAACGACCGTCGACGAAACGTGGGAAAGTGCCACCGAAGCGATAGTCCGTGTCGCTCGCTCCGAACTCGGCACCACAAAGCCTGGGCGTCGGAAAATTGACAAACAAACATGGCTGTGGACGGATACTGTCAAGGAAAAACTGCGAGAGAAGAAAAGATTCTATCATACGTTCCTCAACGACAAAACAGCCGAGAACTGGGAGAACTACCAGAAGGCGAAGAAGGCTGCAAAGAAAGCCGTGGCTATCGTCAAAGCTGCTCACTTCGCCAGCGTTAGCGAGAAACTCGAGACGCGCGATGGCGAACGATATGTCTACAGACTAGCCAAAGCTCGCCATCGCCAAACCGAGGATGTCGAGAAGTTTTTCGGCATTAATGACGAGAACGGGCGGCTCCTAATGGACCGCAAGAAGGCAGTAAAGCGATGGCACGACTACTTCGAGAGAATCTCGACAGTAGAATTCTCACATCCGCCAATCCCTTCTGCCCTCTCCCGTCTACGGTCCCGTCTCGAAGATAACTGTGGAAGAAACTGAAGCGGCGCTGAAGAAGATGAAGACAGGTAAAGCAACGGGTCCCGACGACTTGGCAGCCGATCTGTGGAAGTCACAGTGCTGGCATCCTGCGGAGTGGTTGACGAAGTTCTTCAACCAAGTTGTTGCAGAAAAGAAAGTGCCTGCGAGTTGGTGCCAGAGCACGACGATTCCCATCTGGAAAAAGAAGGGCAGCCCCGCAGACTGCACGAGCTACCGTCCAATTCGTCTACTTTCCCACGCCATGAAGATATTTGAGCGAATTATAGATCGTCGTATTCGCGACATAGTGCAGCTCGCCACGAACCAGTGTGGATTTGTAAGCGGCGTTAGTACCATCGATGCACTACATGCCGCTCGTCTACTGTTAGAAAAACACCGCGAGAAACGGAAGCCTCTGCATTTTGCCTTCCTAGACTTAGAAAAGGCTTTCGATCGCGTTCCGCGTGATGTAATATGGTACGCTCTGAGACAACGTGGCGTCCCCGAAGAGAACTTATTGAGTGGGTTCGCATGCTATACTCGAGCTCAAAGAGCCGAGTGCAAACGTCAGCAGGAACCTCAATGGAATTCCCCATCTCTGTTGGGGTGCACCAAGGCTCTGCACTATGGAATTCCCCATCTCTGTTGGGGTGCACCAAGGCTCTGCACTATCCCCACTCCTTTTCGTTGTCGTCATGGATGCCATATCACGAGACCTCCAGAAACCGGCTCCATGGACGCTCCTCTATGCCGATGACGTGATGCTCGCCTGCGAAGACAAAAACTCACTCGAGCAGCAAGTGCAAGCTTGGGCCGATCGCCTAGCGATGTTCGGACTCAGGTTGAATGTCAAAAAGACCGAGTACTTGACAACCGACTTGAGCGAACACAGTTCGGTAAGAATTAACGGCACAGAGCTATCACGCACGACCACGTTCAAGTATCTTGGATCGGTAATAGCGTCAGATGGTAGTATGGGTACTGAAGTGAGTTCACGCGTGAGTGCTGCATGGTCCAAGTGGCGTTCTATGACGGGTGTTCTCTGCGACAAAAAGATTCCAGAACGCCTGAAATCGAAGATCTATAGAACCGTCATAAGACCGGTGGCAATGTACGGCGCTAAGTGCTGGCCCACGACTAAGGAAACAAAAGCCCACCTCGGTG